TGGCCGTGTTTGAGCAACAGGTGATGTGGCCGTGTTTGAGCAACAGGTGATGTGGCCGTGTTTGAGCAACAGGCGATGTGGCCGTGTTTGAGCAACAGGCGATGTGGCCGTGTTTGAGCAACAGGCGATGTGGCCGTGTTTGAGCAACAGGCGATGTGGCCGTGTTTGAGCAACAGGTGATGTGGCCGTGTTTGAGCAACAGGTGATGTGGCCGTGTTTGAGCAACAGGCGATGTGGCCGTGTTTGAGCAACAGGCGATGTGGCCGTGTTTGAGCAACAGGCGATGTGGCCGTGTTTGAGCAACAGGCGATGTGGCCGTGTTTGAGCAACAGGCGATGTGGCCGTGTTTGAGCAACAGGTGATGTGGCCGTGTTTGAGCAACAGGTGATGTGGCCGTGTTTGAGCAACAGGTGATGTGGCCGTGTTTGAGCAACAGGCGATGTGGCCGTGTTTGAGCAACAGGTGATGTGGCCGTGTTTGAGCAACAGGTGATGTGGCCGTGTTTGAGCAACAGGTGATGTGGCCGTGTTTGAGCAACAGGTGATGTGGCCGTGTTTGAGCAACAGGCGATGTGGCCGTGTTTGAGCAACAGGTGATGTGGCCGTGTTTGAGCAACAGGTGATGTGGCCGTGTTTGAGCAACAGGCGATGTGGCCGTGTTTGAGCAACAGGCGATGTGGCCGTGTTTGAGCAACAGGTGATGTGGCCGTGTTTGAGCAACAGGTGATGTGGCCGTGTTTGAGCAACAGGTGATGTGGCCCTGTTTGAGCAACAGGTGATGTGGCCCTGTTTGAGCAACAGGTGATGTGGCCGTGTTTGAGCAACAGGCGATGTGGCCGTGTTTGAGCAACAGGCGATGTGGCCGTGTTTGAGCAACAGGCGATGTGGCCGTGTTTGAGCAACAGGCGATGTGGCCATGCTTGAGCAACAGGTGATGTGGCCGTGTTTGAGCAACAGGTGATGTGGCCGTATTTGAGCAACAGGTGATGTGGCCGTGTTTGAGCAACAGGCGATGTGGCCGTGTTTGAGCAACAGGCGATGTGGCCGTGTTTGAGCAACAGGCGATGTGGCCGTGTTTGAGCAACAGGCGATGTGGCCATGCTTGAGCAACAGGCGATGTGGCCGTGTTTGAGCAACAGGTGATATGGCCGAGTTTGAGCAACAGGCGATGTGGCCATGTTTGAGCAACAGGTGATGTGGCCGTGTTTGAGCAACAGGCGATGTGGCCGTGTTTGAGCAACAGGTGATGTGGCCGTGTTTGAGCAACAGGTGATGTGGCCGTGTTTGAGCAACAGGCGATGTGGCCGTGTTTGAGCAACAGGCGATGTGGCCGTGTTTGAGCAACAGGCGATGTGGCCGTGTTTGAGCAACAGGCGATGTGGCCGTGTTTGAGCAACAGGTGATGTGGCCGTGTTTGAGCAACAGGTGATGTGGCCGTGTTTGAGCAACAGGTGATGTGGCCGTGTTTGAGCAACAGGCGATGTGGCCGTGTTTGAGCAACAGGCGATGTGGCCGTGTTTGAGCAACAGGCGATGTGGCCGTGTTTGAGCAACAGGCGATGTGGCCGTGTTTGAGCATCAGGTGATGTGGCCGTGTTTGAGCAACAGGTGATGTGGCCGTGTTTGAGCAACAGGTGATGTGGCCGTGTTTGAGCAACAGGTGATGTGGCCGTGTTTGAGCAACAGGTGATGTGGCCGTGTTTGAGCAACAGGTGATGTGGCCGTGTTTGAGCAACAGGTGATGTGGCCGTGTTTGAGCAACAGGTGATGTGGCCGTGTTTGAGCAACAGGTGATGTGGCCCTGTTTGAGCAACAGGTGATGTGGCCGTGTTTGAGCAACAGGTGATGTGGCCGTGTTTGAGCAACAGGCGATGTGGCCGTGTTTGAGCAACAGGCGATGTGGCCGTGTTTGAGCAACAGGCGATGTGGCCGTGTTTGAGCAACAGGCGATGTGGCCATGCTTGAGCAACAGGTGATGTGGCCGTGTTTGAGCAACAGGTGATGTGGCCGTATTTGAGCAACAGGTGATGTGGCCGTGTTTGAGCAACAGGCGATGTGGCCGTGTTTGAGCAACAGGCGATGTGGCCGTGTTTGAGCAACAGGCGATGTGGCCGTGTTTGAGCAACAGGCGATGTGGCCGTGTTTGAGCAACAGGCGATGTGGCCATGCTTGAGCAACAGGCGATGTGGCCGTGTTTGAGCAACAGGTGATGTGGCCGTGTTTGAGCAACAGGTGATGTGGCCGTGTTTGAGCAACAGGTGATGTGGCCGTGTTTGAGCAACAGGTGATGTGGCCGTGTTTGAGCAACAGGTGATGTGGCCGTGTTTGAGCAACAGGTGATGTGGCCGTGTTTGAGCAACAGGTGATGTGGCCGTGTTTGAGCAACAGGTGATGTGGCCGTGTTTGAGCAACAGGTGATGTGGCCGTGTTTGAGCAACAGGTGATGTGGCCGTGTTTGAGCAACAGGCGATGTGGCCGTGTTTGAGCAACAGGCGATGTGGCCGTGTTTGAGAAACAGGCGATGTGGCCGTGTTTGAGCAACAGGCGATGTGGCCGTGTTTGAGCAACAGGCGATGTGGCCGTGTTTGAGCAACAGGCGATGTGGCCGTGTTTGAGCAACAGGTGATGTGGCCGTGTTTGAGCAACAGGTGATGTGGCCGTGTTTGAGCAACAGGTGATGTGGCCGTGTTTGAGCAACAGGCGATGTGGCTGTGTTTGAGCAACAGGCGATGTGGCCGTGTTTGAGCAACAGGCGATGTGGCCGTGTTTGAGCAACAGGCGATGTGGCCATGCTTGAGCAACAGGTGATGTGGCCGTGTTTGAGCAACAGGTGATGTGGCCGTGTTTGAGCAACAGGCGATGTGGCCGTGTTTGAGCAACAGGCGATGTGGCCGTGTTTGAGCAACAGGCGATGTGGCCGTGTTTGAGCAACAGGCGATGTGGCCGTGTTTGAGCAACAGGTGATGTGGCCGTGTTTGAGCAACAGGTGATGTGGCCGTGTTTGAGCAACAGGTGATGTGGCCGTGTTTGAGCAACAGGTGATGTGGCCGTGTTTGAGCAACAGGTGATGTGGCCGTGTTTGAGCAACAGGTGATGTGGCCGTGTTTGAGCAACAGGTGATGTGGCCGTGTTTGAGCAACAGGTGATGTGGCCGTGTTTGAGCAACAGGTGATGTGGCCGTGTTTGAGCAACAGGTGATGTGGCCCTGTTTGAGCAACAGGTGATGTGGCCGTGTTTGAGCAACAGGCGATGTGGCCGTGTTTGAGCAACAGGCGATGTGGCCGTGTTTGAGCAACAGGCGATGTGGCCGTGTTTGAGCAACAGGCGATGTGGCCGTGTTTGAGCAACAGGCGATGTGGCCATGCTTGAGCAACAGGTGATGTGGCCGTGTTTGAGCAACAGGTGATGTGGCCGTATTTGAGCAACAGGTGATGTGGCCGTGTTTGAGCAACAGGCGATGTGGCCGTGTTTGAGCAACAGGCGATGTGGCCGTGTTTGAGCAACAGGCGATGTGGCCGTGTTTGAGCAACAGGCGATGTGGCCATGCTTGAGCAACAGGTGATGTGGCCGTGTTTGAGCAACAGGTGATGTGGCCGTGTTTGAGCAACAGGTGATGTGGCCGTGTTTGAGCAACAGGTGATGTGGCCGTGTTTGAGCAACAGGTGATGTGGCCGTGTTTGAGCAACAGGTGATGTGGCCGTGTTTGAGCAACAGGTGATGTGGCCGTGTTTGAGCAACAGGTGATGTGGCCGTGTTGAGCAACAGGTGATGTGGCCGTGTTTGAGCAACAGGTGATGTGGCCGTGTTTGAGCAACAGGTGATGTGGCCGTGTTTGAGCAACAGGCGATGTGGCCGTGTTTGAGAAACAGGTGATGTGGCCGTGTTTGAGCAACAGGCGATGTGGCCGTGTTTGAGCAACAGGTGATGTGGCCGTGTTTGAGCAACAGGCGATGTGGCTGTGTTTGAGCAACAGGCGATGTGGCCGTGTTTGAGCAACAGGCGATGTGGCCGTGTTTGAGCAACAGGCGATGTGGCCATGCTTGAGCAACAGGTGATGTGGCCGTGTTTGAGCAACAGGTGATGTGGCCGTGTTTGAGCAACAGGTGATGTGGCCGTGTTTGAGCAACAGGCGATGTGGCCGTGTTTGAGCAACAGGCGATGTGGCCGTGTTTGAGCAACAGGCGATGTGGCCGTGTTTGAGCAACAGGTGATGTGGCCGTGTTTGAGCAACAGGTGATGTGGCCGTGTTTGAGCAACAGGTGATGTGGCCGTGTTTGAGCAACAGGCGATGTGGCCGTGTTTGAGCAACAGGCGATGTGGCCGTGTTTGAGCAACAGGCGATGTGGCCGTGTTTGAGCAACAGGCGATGTGGCCGTGTTTGAGCAACAGGTGATGTGGCCGTGTTTGAGCAACAGGTGATGTGGCCGTGTTTGAGCAACAGGTGATGTGGCCGTGTTTGAGCAACAGGTGATGTGGCCGTGTTTGAGCAACAGGTGATGTGGCCGTGTTTGAGCAACAGGTGATGTGGCCGTGTTTGAGCAACAGGTGATGTGGCCGTGTTTGAGCAACAGGTGATGTGGCCGTGTTTGAGCAACAGGTGATGTGGCCGTGTTTGAGCAACAGGTGATGTGGCCGTGTTTGAGCAACAGGTGATGTGGCCGTGTTTGAGCAACAGGTGATGTGGCCGTGTTTGAGCAACAGGCGATGTGGCCGTGTTTGAGCAACAGGTGGTGTGGCCGTGTTTGAGCAACAGGTGATGTGGCCGTGTTTGAGCAACAGGTGATGTGGCCGTGTTTGAGCAACAGGTGATGTGGCCGTGTTTGAGCAACAGGTGATGTGGCCGTGTTTGAGCAACAGGGGTGGGAAATTGGGGTGACGGGGGAGAAACGGGACAAATGCATAGATTCCTACAGCACATACACATCCTCTCTCTCACTTTTTCCGCCCCATCCTCTCTTCCTTTAACTTGCTTTCTCCCACCCACCCAAGCCCCGGCACGCACCAGATGCGACCATCTCGCACCACCCCCACTGTCGTCTGCCCGCAGTGCTGCTGGAAGGACGCCAGGCGGATGCGACCGTCTGTGGGCGGGCGTGATAAAGGAGTGCGGCGGAAGGGCGGAAGGATAAGGGAGGGAGGGATAAAATACCATCTCGAACCACCCCGACTGTCGTCTGCCCGCTGTGCTGCTGGAAGGACAGCCGGCGGATGTGCCCGTCTGTGTTTGACAGGGAAGAAGAAGAGGTGGGGGGAGGAGACGGAGGAACGGCGAGGGGGGGGGGGGGGAGGGGGGCGGGAAGGGGGAGATGGGGGAGAGCAGGCACATTTGAGCCACCCCCAGAATCAGCGCTCCTCACCTTACCCGTGACAGGTATTTTAGTTCAATCCCTCAGCTTCAAATCCCTCAGCTTCAAATCCCTCAGCTTCAAATCCCTCAGCTTCAAATCCCTCAGCTTCAAATCCCTCAGCTTCAAATCCCTCAGCTTCAAATCCCTCAGCTTCAAAACCCTCAGGTTCAAAACCCTCAGGTCAAATCCCTCAGGTTCAAAACCCGCAGGTTCAAAACCCTCACGTTCAAAACCCTCAGGTTTAAAACCCTCAGGTTCAAAACCCTCAGGTTTAAAACCCTCACGTTCAAAACCCTCACGTTCAAAAACCTCCCGTTCAAAACGCTCACGTTCAAAACCCTCACGTTCAAAACCCTCACGTTCAAAACCCTCACGTTCAAAACCCTCAGGTTCAAAACCTTCACGTTCAAAACCCTCACGTTCAAACCCCTCACGTTCAAAACCCTCACGTTCAAAACTCTCAGGTTCAAAACCCTCAGGTTCATGCTCATACACCCCCTTACCTGAGGTCATGGCAACAGCAGCAGCAGACACTGCGCCATCTGCTACCTTCTCACCCCCGGCTCCCGGCTTTTGAGTCGGCTCAAAGGCTAGGGGCTTATATTCCCCCTTACCTGATGTCATGGCGATAGCAGCGGAAGTCACTGCGCCATCTGCTATCCTCTCAACCCCCGCTTCCAGCGCTGCTGCTGCTGCCGCTGCGGTTGTGGTTGGCGGTGGCGCGTCCATACGACGCACGGAGAGGGGACGCGAGGAAGGATGGAGGTGCGCGGGGAAGGGAAGGGGGAAGGAGAAGCGCGGGTACGAAGGGAGGGGAGCGCGGTGCAGGTAGGGAGAGGAGAGTCGCGTCGGGCTTCTGATGCTTGACAGGGTTATGCCACCGTGTGTGCGGCTGCTGGCTGAAACGAGAGTCCGTAGCGTGGCAGGACCGGGACGCGTGGTGAGCGCAGTTAGCCGCGCTGGGCACGAAGGATGGACTGACTTATTCGAATTATTCGACTTATTCGAATTTTCCGAATTCTTCGTTTTTTTTTTGTGCGCGGCGGCTACCGCTAATGAGGAATCTCGACGTGAGGTGAGGATCGCAGCGCCCGTGGGAAGGCTGCGCAGGGAAGAGACGGCGGATCGGCCGGCCGGAAACATTCCCTGTGCTACGAGAGCGACGAGCTCGCGACGAGGTGGGCGACACCGAGCGACGTTGAATGCCCAAGCGGGTATTGGAAAGGGAATAAAAGAATGGGAGAGGTTGAGAATGCATCTGCGAACTCCTCATAAGAGCACAATTCAGGAAAAGTTTTGAGACTTCAAAATCAGTTGTGCGTTTCAGTCACCAGATACCACAACATCTCAATTCTGTTTATAAATTTATTCGCATTCGCTCGCACGTCGCCCAACTTGGAGTCCCAGAACTGAGTTCCGGAACTGGCAACTCGGAACAGTATACTCCACGCCCTCAGTCCCTTCACTTTCATTTTGCCCAGTGATTCTGCACCTCGGTTCTGACCCGAGGTTGACCCGCGGTCGAAGGAGCCGCGGGGTTTAGAGACTCAAACTTGAGTCTAGTGACTTGACGGTCGTGCGCCTACAGAGGAGCAGAAAGTCGCAAAACGAGTTGACGATGTGCAAAAAACCGCACAGAGTTGTCGCAAAAGCGAATCGGGAATATGGGAGGTGTACACTGGCGGGCGATGCACTTGCGCCACTTCTAGTCTGGAGGGTTTGTCTGCGAACGGCGTGTTTCCAGTCAAGCAAGCCGTTGGGAGTAGTAAAACTCAAGGCGATTCTTTTCCACCTCGGGTGTTCCCGACACTAGTGTCAGACACGAGCTCCAAAAGAACCCTCACTTTTGTTGGAACAGCGAAGGGAGACTTACTACCGCGAACTGTCCACAAAAACTTCCATACTCTCGTGGACAGGCCATACTTTCATGGACATCTCTTCTCGTTCTCCCATTGACACCTTCCATACTTTCGTGGACTCTGGGCATACTTCCACAGACACACGCAAAATTGCGGAAAAAAACGTAAACCAAACTGTACAAGTCATGACGGGCGGAAAAAACAAAATAATGCCAAATTCGGGCCTCTCTCAAATTGTCGCAAGCTACAGTACCCACAACAACCAAATCAGCTCCTAAGATCGTATTCTGAAGTTGGACCTACGAGCAAAGTTTTCCCATGCGGCTTGAAATGTCTGTTGGAAATATCTCAAAGGACTTAAGCGTTTCTGAAGTGTAACACTGCACTCGAGGAAGACTACAGGGGAGCACGCGAGTCAACGGAGGTCACATGAGGGGGCAGACAAAGAATGCGAAAAGACTCGAAAGGTCGCAACTGGAGGTTGCGACTGAACATTACAACAACACGGATGGTAACCGAAGCGGCAATCGAGTCGCTGTGCGACTCGATAAACCGTTCCTGTAACTGTACTCTACAACGGCTTTCTTATCTTCTATATATTGCTGTATGCTTGTTTCTTTAATCAATCACTTGTTCTCATATACTAGTACAAGGATTCAACTGCCTCAACTTCCGCTGCACTACTCAAGTCTTAATCTTCAACTGGGACTTAGTCTCTGAAAAGATCCTAAGGGCATTTCTCAGCCCAACATGGTATAAGAGCTAGTCAGAGACCAAACTCCCAGCAACTGCGCTCTATCAATAACCAGCAACTCAACTCAATTCAACGACTTCATTGATTACAAGACATGGACAGCAAGGGCAAGAAAATCTCTACGGGCTCACCCAGCGGCCAAGAAACTCAACACGGCAACTCTGGACTGCACGCCTCAGGACTGCAGACAGAGACCGGGACTGCTCAAGAAACAACAGGAAGAGCACCAGAGATGGTAACTCCATCACCCTCTTCAAGCGTGAACCCCAACCTTATGGAAAGGTTCTTCAGCTTCATGTCGCACTTCGACCAGCAGCAGCAGACAAGGACACCTGCACATTCAACACAGAGCAATGGAGGAAACATGGGATTAGCGCCGATGAGCCTCGACAATTCATCATTCGGGCGACACAATCAAGCGCCTACCTTTGCGCCTTATCACTCTTCACCGGGGACGTTCGAGTTCATGCCGCCCCGTGCCCAACCAACAGCAGCTGCATCACAACAGACACCAAACGAGATTTTAAGCCTCTAGGCGCAGTTCTCACACGTGATTAAACTGCAGACATCCTCACCATTCAACGGACACGATTTCTTTACCTGGAGTTTCGAGTTCGAGCTGCTGATGGAGGCTGCGCATCTCCTGGGATACTTCAACGGGTCCCTGCCATTCCCAAGCAATGGCACTGGAAAGGAGCAAGAAATCCTCACGTATCAGTCGCTGCTGGCGTATACAGTTCTCCTGAGAAATCTGTCACCACAAGAACAGCTGAGCATCAGAACATACAGGAGCTATGGCAACTCCGCAGAACTCGCATGGCATCACCTCAAGTGCCTCTATCAAGCAAACGACAGCGTGACACAAAGCAGACTCATGCAACAATTGACAACAATACAGATGAAGACCGGAGAAAAGGCGATGCAGTATATGAGTCGCTGCCAGACCCTCCGCGACCGCCTGCTTCGGTGCGGAGGAACAATCACTGAAGAGAGCTTCGTGACACTTGTCCTCGCGGGGCTCGGGCCAGAATGGAGAACCACACGATCGCTTCTTCGCGCCCACGGAAGGATTTCGGAGATGCACCTCTGCGCCGAGCTTCACGCTGAACAACAGGAGATGGACCTGTTCGAAGAAAGACAACCAAGGAAGCAGCAGCAGTTAGTCTTCTACACTCAACGAAGGAACGACAACAACTACAATCGACGCGGCAAGCAAGATCAACGCGATAACAGAGGAATTACTTTCGTACCACCATTCTGCCACAACTGCCAGACTTCCGGGCACTCCAAGGTCAACTGCACACGCCCTCGCGTTTATCGCCCAGTAGACCCACAAGTCGCTTCCACTCAAGAAAGTCCTCCAAGGCGCTCTTCAACATCTGCACAACAGACACCAAACATTATTAACTGCATGGTACACATCGACAACTGCACACCCGAATCACCACCCACTTACGCACCAGACGAAGAGGAGCTCCCACCACCGCGCTCACAAGGACTTCAAGTCAATCCAACATATGCTGCGGTCGCCAACGCCGAACCCACCGGGCGAAACACCTGGTTCTTGGACAGCTGCTGCGGTCAACACATGTGCTCTTCGGGACGCTTCGTGCAACAGGAGAAACGCCTCAACCGCGACGTCATCATCACCGTCGCCAACAACGAAAACCTGAAGACAAACAGACAAGGCGTGGTTCAGTTACAATCCATGGAGACAAACGTCATACTTCAGCTCAACAAAGTGCTCATTGTCGACAATCTGGGATACAACCTACTAAGCGTAAGCCAACTAATGGCCAAGGGGATTCACCTGGAGTGCGACTCTTACTCCAACGAGTTTCGGCTTTACCACGGGAAGGGCGGCCTCTTCATCGGTCGTGCCCTCCTGAAGTCCGGCGTCTTCGTGTTGGACTTCGTCCCCGACCGCGGTACTGCCGACAGCGACGGTATCGTATCGTTCCCCGCCTGGACTCACCCGCCGGATCTTGATCCCGACTTCGACAGTGACGGCTTCTGGCACTCCAACACCATACCTGCAGCAGAGAGAACACAAGCATTAGCAGTTATAAGACAAGAAAGACAAGTACCCGCAAGTATCCCAACCAAACCATCACCTGCAGTATCGGCAGCAGGACCCAGCCGAGTCCCAGCACCAGCGACCCGAGGACCGCCAACCGAAGCAGACCAGCTAATGCCCATCACACGAGAAGTTTGTCGAAGTCCCGCCTCAGTCGTCGCGTTCTTCTCCAACGCCGACATCTACCACCGCTCGCCCGGTCATCGCGCTTCCGACGACATCTGGCACCAACGTCTCGGACATCCTGCAAACAGCACGATACTACAAACAATCCAAGCAGAGGTGTTAGAACGCAACGCCCTTCTAACGACGAGCGGCCAAGAACTACGACGACCACGAGCACGGTGCTTCACGTGCCCCGAAGCAGATCTTCCTCATCAACCTTTCCCATCTCATCACAACCCAAGCGCACCTACTTACGCTCCGATGGAAAAGGTCTACAGCGATATTTTAAACATGCCTCGAGAAGACACCGAAGCCGACTTCAACTACGTCATCACGTTCATCGACGCAGCAACCAGATACGTCTGGCACTTCAATCTCAAGACGCGCGATCAAGCTTTCGAAGCCTTCACAACATGGCTTCCCATCGCCGAACGAGAATCGGGACTCAAACTCAAGAGCTTCCAGTCAGACGGTGCACTGGAATACCAGTCACAACGCTTCAGGACCTATCTGGCGGAAAGAGGAATCAGACGCCTGGTGTCCCTGCCCTATGCTCACCAACAGCAGGGGGTCGCAGAACGCATGAATCGGACCTTGCAGACGACGATGCGAAAACTGCTTCTGGGAATGAGGCTGCCCACCACACTGTGGCCAGACGCGATGACACATGCAGTTCACCTGCACAACCTGTTGTCCTCGTCATCACTTCCCAACAACGCATCACCGCACCTGTTGTGGACAAGAAAAAGGGGCAGCACAAAATTACTCCGAGTTTTCGGCTGCATGGTACAGTACAGACCCCACACAGCCCGAGCAGGACGCTTCACACAACGAGCTCGGTGGGGACTACACCTCGGCATCGCCAAACATTTTCACGCGTGGAAAATTCTCGACATACAAGACAAAAATACGGTGGCATCACGTGATGTTATCTTCTACGAGCGACTGACGCTGCAGCATTACCTGGACAACATCGCCAACACACAAGACCCCACCGACGGCTTCTCGGGACTTCGTTCCTTCGCCGATCGTGCTGCCGAAGCTGACGCGGCAAAAGAAGACGTACCTGGAGCCTCGGAAACTGCCGGACCACTCCCCTTCTGTTCCGTATCTGTTCCACTCGACGACGACAATCCTCTCGATAGTAACAACCTCGACACCTTCTACCACTTCGCTGACCAAGGTTACATTACACCCCACCCAGTTGACACAAATGTTTCAGAACGCATCGGTCCCAACTTCTCACCTGACCCAGAAGACGGTGACGAAGCAGCTTATTCCGGGAATGAAAATTCCCCTCGACACACACCCACGGGACTGCAGATTCTAGGCCTCTGGGTCTCCGTCCAGCATCCGCCACCGCCTTCTCCGC